CTCACTATGTCAATTATTATTTTCTTAGCAGGTGTGCCAAGTAAAAAAAATGAACAAATAAATAGAGACAAAGAGAGTAATAATTTAACTTTCCTAGTAATAAACCAAAAGAAGCACAACTAATTTACATATGAAATAGTGGAAAATGAGATGTTTTTATATAACATAAAAGTTTAGAAAAAATACCATGAGTAAATATGAAGCTTGTATGTTGTATATGTTCTTGATTCTTGATTATAAATCTTGGCTAAAATTTTGAGAGGTTTTATAAGTAGAGAATGATATAACTTTCATAATGAAAAGGCTATTATATAGTTGTGTAGAGCGCGGCGATGGTACCACCACACATTTGTTGGTGCATAGATATAGGGACAAAACTCTCTTTATAGCGCACGCACATCTTATTTCTGCGTACGGTAAAACCTCACTGAATTAATACTCGATAAATTAATAATCACTTGAATATTTTGATTTCGACTTGCGTCAATGGAAAAAATTACTCAATTTGATAAGATAATAAGATAATATATTTTCAGAAGATCCCTATATAAATATATGGTCTCATTAATATTATAAATTAATAATTCTTTAAAAGTACAGATATATGTAAGACAATTTAGTGAAATATGATTCTATTATTTTTTATTAAATTTCAAATCTAGTTGAAGCTCATCTCTAACTTTTTTTATTGCATCCAAAAATTTTGGTATTGTCATGACTATAAATCTGTTTGAGTGCATGTGGAATGATCTCTTTTGTATTCACATAATGATTTACGTATTTGATACATCATAGTTGATTTTGTGATACCTTTTTAATGAGAAGTCATTTATGGATATGGTTTCAAAAAAAAATTTAGGTTGTTTATATAGTTTATTCTCTCACAGTCATATATACATCGAATGTTTCTAGTAAAGAATACAATGAATAATATTTGATTATTAATAAACAATGACTATTATGTATAGTGCATTTATTTTCACAGTGAATCATTGAATTGTTGAATTTATTTTACAATAAATTATTTAATAAAAAATAATATTATAATGAATCATACATATACATTGTACTTTATGAATTTATTTTTTTTACATATAAATTCAACAAATATGACACAAAATTTAGTAAGATCCAATGATTTTGATGTATTCACTGTACTTTATATATAATAATTTTTTTTATGTGAATTCAATAAATATGATACATACATAGTAAGAGATAATGATTTTGATATAATCAAAATTAACCTTCATTGAATTTCAAAACACACTTTAAATTAATAAATATTTATTTATTGATTAAATAATATCTCTATAAAATATTAATATTTCATGAGTCCACCTATATTAATTTAGTGAGATTTTATTATATTTATTTTGGATTGTATATCTAAGTAAAAAATAGTGTAACTACTTATAATATTATAATAATAAAACCAACCAGAAGTAAATCAATCAAAATTATATAATGAGTAACAGGGAAGGTGGTGTTTGAGCATGAAAACTAAATTTAATTAAATTTCTTTGAAATTTTTAAGGTTGGAGTTGGAGTTGTGTTTAATCATACTTTGATAAACAATATTTAGAATTAAATGTATATTTTTAAAGTATGAAATATGATTTATATCTGAAAATTTTAAAACCTAACAAACTTATTCAACCAGAGCCTTGTTGCTAAAAGCTGCTCATTTTTTGAAGCACTTTTTAAAAATAGGTTTTCAAAAAGTGTTTTTGAAAAAAATAATAATTTGTGTTTGGTTAATTCATTTGAAAAATGTTTTTGATAAGAGAATTGTGTTTGACTAATATTTTAAAAAAAGTACGTTTGAGAGTCAAATTATGAAAAAGGACAAGTATCAATACACTTTTAATATTAAGATCATTTTAAATATCTATTATAAAATTTAATTTAATTTTTATTTTTATTAAATTAAAATTTACATAATTAAATTTTCAGTCAATATTGTACATATATGAATAAAAAAATTACATGATGATTTAAATATAATTAAAAATATCAAAATAAATTTAAAAACCATTTCACAAATTAAATCACAACATAATAAAAACTTATCACTAAAATAAATAAATATATATAGATGATATATTGGTAAATATGTATATATGACGGAGATATTTTGGTCTTGCAATAAATAATTTCCTGCTTCTACTACTTCTGTTTTTTTTAATAAACAAAATTTTTAGCTTCTTCACAACAACACAAAAACTACTTATGCTTCTACTTAAAAATAGTTTTACTGATTAATCAAACACCTTATTTTTTAAAAATAAGTGTATTTTATTCAAAATAAATATTTTTAGCCTTTCAACAACAATAACAAACATGATCTTAATTAATAAATCTAAAAATATAAAATCAAAATTGTTCTAAAAATGTAATGTCACATTTATTTGCATTGCAGAATTTAAAAAGTCTGAATCAGATAAAAGTTGGACATAACTAACAAAAACATAAAAAAAGTTATCCAATTTGATTGAAAAGAGAATAAATTTGCAGCTATGGTAGTTGGGTATTTACTATATGTTTTTTTAAAAAATAAAATAAATCAATCAAATTTGGACCAGTGGTCCGTTTTCTTATTAATAAGGTATGTACTATATGGTTGGTGTCTGATATAAATGGTTATTTTAATAACAGCAAAAATTGGGACAAACTCTCAAAATAAAGGTGATATGGAAAACGTGTAAACAGAATTTTCTGATTAATAATAATTTTAAATAAAATGAAAAAAAAATAATCAGAAAAAAAATGAATAATTTCCATGATCAAATGTGATCTAAATTATCAAAAAAAAACTCCTTTAACTATGTATAACTAATAAACTCTTCACTTTAGTCTGGTTTTTTCCTCTTTGGGCTTGGGTTGATAGTACCCATGATGATTGATGGTGATGCCTCAAAATTAACAATCCATGTGAGGCATCGATCGACAAAGTCATAAAGAAATATATGTACTTCTAAAAAGATTTTTCTACGAAAAGCTAATAATTAAGTCCTGACAATTCAAGTGAAAGTTTTTAAACTGGTCTCACTAATTAAGATGACAGGGACATGAACTATCGAAAGTTTTCGTCTCGATAATTACTTAGCAAGAGAAAGGCAATGCAAAAGTATTCCTCTTATGTGAGAAAACATAAGATGTTTAAGCTCAAGTAATTCGTCGAAGCTATAAGACTTTGAAAGATTATTTTTTTTCAAATGTTAATAGCGGAACGTTTAGTCCAAATCAGATAGGGATGTCGCTCCTACCGCTAAAGCAATTGTTTCAACCATTGCGTTCGTAAATTATGTGATTTGTTTTAAAGTATTAGAAATAATTCAATGAAATAAATTTGTGCAAGAGAATACTGATAATTAATAATCCACAATAAAGAAATTAATCAAGAGAATTAAGTGAAAATTCGAAATGAGATTATTGTTTTTTTAAAAAAAAATCTCTTCTTATCCTCCTCCTGCTCCCTCCGTTTCATATTATTTGATTTCGTATTAAAAATAATTTATTTTAATTGATGAAAATAAATAAAAAATTATATTTTTTCTTTTTATTCTTAATGTAGAACTATATAAGGTAATAATCAAATTTCAAATATCATTAACAAAACTAATAAAATTAATTTTATAAATTATAAATCTAATTAAATTATTTATAAATAATACAGTATCATATCAACAGAGGTCGAACAATATATGATATTGAGTAAGTAGTTCTTTTAAAAAATATGAATAAATGAGGATGACATTATGTGTTGAGGCACCGTGCACACAATTCATTTATTCCAAGTTTTACAGTCACATTTTATTTTTCGGAAGTTAATTTAATTTATTTTTAAAAGTAAATTAGATTAAATAATTTAAAATTAAATATTAAAAATTATAAAAATATATTTTATAAGTTGTAATTTTTGTCATATCAATATGATAAGAAAATATATCTTAAAACATTAGTTAACGTTTATATGGTTTGTCTTTTAAAAAAATAAATGTGACAAATATTTTAAAACGATAGGACTAAATTTTTAAGTGTCCATAAATATTAAACTCACTTTTTGTAAGTTTACATGTGTATGACGTGTACTCCTTCCATGTCAAATTATCTGTTGATGTAAACAATGAGCCTAATAAGTATTTACGCACAAAATTATTTTTTAGACTGTGAAATACAATAGCGAAGAATATCAACACAAACGATCGAAAAGAATATAAAATGGACATAGATTGCAACTCTAAATAATTCATTAATACTTCATGCAATAAATCAATAGATAAACAGAGACGGATTTAGGTTTTAAAGCGTATGATTTCTACAATAATTTCAATCTAACATAAAATTATATCTGGATTCACCATCAATTATTTATAAATATTTTTTTTATACAAATAGACGATATGAACAAAAGTCGTTGAATTCCCGTAAACCCACACCTTAACCCTCGTTTGAATGGTTGTTAACAGTTGTATTGTATTATATTGTTAATCTAACTATGATGTTTGTTTTGATTGATACTTAAATTCTATTGTATCATATCGTTTAAATCCGTGGCTAGATAACGTTGAAAAAGACTCATTTTCTGTAACGATTATTTGGTGTGATCGTGTCGTTACCTTAATATTTTCTTCTCATTTTATCTTTACTTATTATTTAATAACTCTATTTGATCATTTACCCTACCTTTTCATAGCAGCTCTACCCCATACACTACAATTTCTCGTAGATTTATCGTTCAAATTATGAATATGTGACATTATGTAATGACGGAGAATGATACAATCTATCCAAACGTTGTATTCATTAAAACAACTCAATACAATACAATACGATACGACATGATACAAGATGATACGATATAATACGATACATTATGAAACAATACATAACAACCATCCAAACAAAGTGTTAGGGCTAAATCTGCCCTTATTCAGTTTAACACAATTTATTTATAGGATTAATTAAAAAAAAATTATAGAACCCTTTTACTCAGCCTAACCTTCAAACCATTTATCATTCGAATAACAATAGCAGTTGTTGGAGAAATTGTTTGTGCTTCCATTAATTGAATATTGTAATTGTATATCATGATAGCTGCCACCATTTTTGCGTGAATGAATGTCATTTAATTCCTTCCCTAAACAAGTCCTTGGCCCCGAATGAAACACCGGAAATTTGAGTGATGGCTCATGTTTGACTCCTCCTCGTTCAGTAATCCATCTCTCTGGCTTGAATTCTAAGCAATCGTTCCCCCATATACTCTCCATTCTCCCCAACGTATAAATTGATATTAATATTTTCACGTTTGGTGTAACACGATGACCACTTGGTAGAACATCGAGCTCAACTGGAGCTCGATGTTCAACTCCAATGGGTGGGAATAGTCTAAGACATTCACACAATGCACCATGTAGATAGACCAATTTTCGTGACTCTTCTATGTTGAAAAACTTGAGATATTCGTCTTCTTTTAGATGCAATTGTTGTTGAATCTCTTCTCGAATCTTTTTCTCTACTAAGGGATTTTTAGCCACGAGCCAAAAAAACCAAGTGAGAGTTGTGCTTATAGTGTCTCTACCAGCAAACATCAAATTCAAGAAAGTATCTCTTAGAAATTTTTGTACACTACCCAAATTTTCATCAACTTCATTTTTCAATTTATCGTATGCTTTTATATAGTTACTGAATAGTTCAAAATCATCGTCTTTAATATTATTATCGATCAACTTTTTCTGCTTCTCCGAAATGACATGATACATAAATTGATCGAAAGCCTCCCATGCTTTAATTAAATCCTTCTCTTTACCAATTCGAAGCCATTTTTGCAATTTCCGGTAGTTTTTTGGTAAGATATGTCTATATGCAAGTGCATCCCCCATGTCGTTGAACGCGATTTCACATGGTACATGAGGTAGATTTAGGGACAAACTTTTGGGATCGTGATCAAGTAACAATTTACTATTAGTATCGAAACTATATCTCTGAAAAATATCTTGCAAATCAACAGGGGTGTCCTGTTTTGCAAAAATATCAAGAGTTGGTACAATACCTTTATCGATCGTGTCCCATACGTTACGTTGTAACAAAGTTTGGAACTTGGCATGGTTCATTAAGGACATGGTTGTTTTCCTATGAATCTCCCATAATTCAGAATCAACATTGAAGATTTCATTACCTAATATATCGAATATTTCATGAAATTCAGGACCTTTTGGATAGTTTGAGAAATTTCGACTCAGGATATGATGGATATTTGCAGGATCGCTAGGGAATAACATGTCCATGTTGGCGAAAATAGGGCCACGGAACTCGAAATTGCTATTAGTTTCTAAGAGAATGTCAGTGAAAAATGAATGGACTCTATGCATATTGTGAACAAATCCAGGCAACATTCCAACAAGGGGCCAATTGGTTAGGACTTAAGTTTTGGTCCATTTATTTTTCAAGTACCAATAAGTGAAACATAAGATTATCAAGGTAATAATAGAGTACCCAACAACATCCATAAGTGTCTGCACAAAATTAAGAAAAATAAATTCTTGAGTTAGATGATAGATAAGTTGTAAATATTATCGTAAAAATATTTGTATATAATTTAAATAAATATTATTTGAGGTGGGGGTGGTGATGGAGCTACGACGCTTAAGATGAGTTGTGTTACTGTACTAGAGAATATCATTAACTAATAAAAGTGTGCTCTCTCTAACAGCTTAAGGTTTTAGATGAAATGCTTACACACTTCAACATGGTATTAGAGCAGGCAAATGTCCTGGATTGAATTTCACCGCTACCCAAATCAAAAAGAATTTTCACGTGCATGGCCCATGAAAAAGAATCAATCCCGCACGTGAGGAGTGTGTAGAGAATATCATTAACTAATAAAAGTGTGCTCTTGTCTAACAGCTTAAACACACCCTAAGGGGGGGGGGGGGGGGGGGGGGGGGGGGGGGGGGGGGGGGGGGGGGGGGGGGGGGGGTTAAGAAAATCTAGTTAGACATAACTTCTTTAGGTTAAGGACTAACTTCTTTTTCTTTTCGAAAAAAGAAATATTCTTTCTGTTTCAATATATTTGTTTTTTTTTAGCCAGTTTCAAAAGGATTTTTTTTAACTCTTTAAATCCACTATCCATACATAGAGCCGTCAAAATGGGCTTGGCCCGCGAGGCCGGCCCAACCCAACCCTTGAATTAAGTGGGGTTGGGCTTAATTTTTTTGGCCCATTTAGGAATGAGGCTTTTTAGCCCAGCCTCGTTTGGCTCGTAGCCTCGTAGGGCTAACCCGCAAGCCTCAGAGGCCAGCCCATGGGCTATTAATTTTTAAAAATATTTTTAGTAGTGTTTTATTTGTAAGATTTTATCATAAATATTTTTAAAATATCAATATAAAATCAAGACTATATTTTTTTACATATCGTTTACATTTTAGGGTCATTAGCCCACTAAATTTTCTTATTAGCCCAAGTTCATCGCTCCATTATAACTATGAATCTTTGACCTCCTTTACTTTTGTTTTTATGCCTAATTTTTTTTCACTTCTCCTTTATTGTCTTGTTTATGAAATAATGATCATGTAATGTTTTTTTGCTCGGATGAATCTTATGAATGTTGTATCTTGGCTATTATGTATTTGTTTTGTAAATATTCACTGAAGTATGTGTAATTTATGAATGAATTTATGTATGTATTGATGTCGTGTCCATCGGACATCGACATTCGTATCCTTTCTAAGAGGAAAATGTTGTCCGATTTTTATTGAAGGGCAAACCCGTCCCAACCCATGGCCCGCTTAGGGCTGGGTTGGGCTGCTATTTTATCGGTCCTTTAATTAAAAGGGCCAGCCCGTCCCAACCCATTTAACTCTCTAGCCTGTTAGGGTTGGGTTGAGCCAGCCCATTTTGACAGCTCTATCCATACACAATATATGCATATTGCCTCAAATATCAACAACCTCCAATTCAAAATAATGAACAATTTATCTTTCCTAGTAAACCAAAAGTAAAATTAGAAGTAAGTCAAAAGAAGCACAATGAATTAATATATGAATATATAGTTGAAAATTAGAGTTAATATCACATAAAAGTTTAAGAAAAATACCATGAACAATAATGAAGCTTGTATATGTTATAATTCTTGATTGTAAATTTTGGCTAAAATTAAGAAGGTTATATAAGTAGCGTGATATTAATATTCATTAAGAAAAGGCTATTATATAGTTTGTACTTTGTATAGGGCGTGCGGCGATGGCACCGTACTATATGTTGGGTGATAGATATAGGCAGTGGCGGATCCAGGATTTAGAGTCCGTGGGTGCCAAATGGGATTCGAACCTGCAACCTCAACCTTCTAAAGTTGCCCTCCTACCGTGGCACCACAAGCCAATTTTGTTCTGTGGGTGGCACGCTTTATATTTATATAAATATTATATATATACCTATGTATATATAGAATTTCCGTCGAAGTTCGGGGGTGGCGTGGCACCCCCACTGCCCTTCATAGATCCGCCACTGGATATAGGGGCTGAATTTCTAATAATGTACGCAGACTTTATTAATATGTATTTATTTCACATTGCATTTTTAAGTAAAAAATAGTGTAACTATTAATATAATGATAAAAAACTAGTAAGAAGTAAATCAAGCAAAATTATCAAAATGGACGGACACTGATTTTTGAAAGAGCTGTTTTTGCCTCGATAATTACCTAGCGAGAGAAAGACGAAGCAAAAATAGTCTTTTACCTAAGAAAACATCATATGTATGGCTCAAGTGATTCATTCAAACTATAAGACTTTAAAAATTATTTTTTCAAATTTCAATAGTAAAACGTTTAGTCCAAATCAAAAGATGATGCAAAAATAGCCTGCCACCAAAGGAAACATCATACATCTGGGCCCAAGTGATTCACTCAAACTATGAGACTTTAAAAGCTATTTATTTTTTTCAAATGTCAATAGCCGAACGTTTAGTCCAAATCAAAAGGCGATGCAAAAATAGTCTTCTACTTAAGAAAACATCATACATCAGGGCTCAAGTGATTATCTGAAACTACGAGACTTTAAAAACTATTTTTTTTCTTCTTCAAATATCAGTAGCGGAACGTTTAGTCAAAATCAAAAGACGATGCAATAATAGTTGTTTACTTAAGATTACTTCATTTCATCGAGGCTCAAGTAATTCACTGAAACTATAAGAACCTTAAAATTGTTTTTTCAAATGACAGTAGCGGAACGTGTAGTCCAAATCAAAAGGGGATTCCACTCTTACCCCTAAAGCAATTGTTTCAACTCCTGCTTCCAGAAGAGTTGGCGCAAATATTATTATAGTCCAAATAGCTTTTGTAAATTATGTGATTGTTTTGGAAACATATAGAAATAATTCAATGATATAAAATTATGCAAAATAATATTAATAATTAATATCCACAATAAATAAATCAATTAAAGTGAAAATTCAGAAAGAAAATATTGATCTTTGAAATCTCTTTTATCATCTTCCTATCCGTAATTCGTTTTATATTACTTGACCCTCATACTAAACATAGTTATTTCAATTTTCTTATTCAATTTATAAAATAAAAAATAATCTATTGTATTTTTTTCTTTTCTACCCTTAACATTAAATAACTACAAAAATAATAGTTAAGCTTAGAATTTTAAAATATCATTGATACAATTAATTTAATAAAATATATTTTAAATTAAAATTTTCTTAAAAATATGTCAGATCAATAAGTACTATAATATGAAAATGAGAAAGTAATGATTTTCAAAAGTGTAAATAAATAATAGACATAATAAGACTCTATAACTATAGTTTTGATAATTGTGTCCCATAGCTATAGTTCTGTTTGCTATGGAGGCTGCGGTTTGTATATTTCTGTCCGTTTGTATATATTGCTTACGAATATACAAATAGGTAAATATATACAAATTCTGTATATATACATTTAGGAATTTTTCAGAACTCCGTTTGTAAATTTCGCTTGTCAATATACAAACAGAATAATTTATTACGATTTTTTCATAAATCTTATACAAATTGGTAGGGTAAGCATATACAAAAATTCTGGATTTATACAATCAGGAATCGAGTTATACAAATTTTAGATTTATACAAATCAAGCGAGTACAAATCAGACAAATAACAAAAAATAGAAAACCATAACCACAAATTATAATTATTTTAAACTGTAACTTTATATAGTACTTAATATAGATTAAATATTTGCTTTTCTGTATAATTTTCCCCTAAAAAAATGACAGAAAATTTGGTCCAAAGGAATAGAGACTTCGGCCAAACAAAATTAATTGCATAGTTGTCTTTAGTTTATGACATTACGTGTTGAGGAACACAACTCATATAAATGTTAAAATGGCCATAAATATTAAAACTCACTTTTTGTAAGTTGACGTGAGTACTTTATTCGTCTCAAATTATCTATCGTTATTTTTTTTTATCGTTGTTGAAGTAGTTGTTTTATTATCGAAATGTCGTCTTAGTCTATCCACATTTTCATTTTGTAATTAGTCGTAACTGTTATTTTAATTTCATAATTTTCTTCTTTTTTGTTTTCATTGTTGTTATTTTTGTTAATATTATTATTGTTATTTAATTGCATGGGAAAAAGTTTAAATATGTCATCGAACTTTGAGAATAGGTTCATATTTATGTTATCCGTTAAAAGTTTGACTCATCTATGTCATTTTCGTTTGAGAAAAGACTCATTTATGCAATTATTTGTTAATTGAAAACTGTTTCGGGTTTGTAAATCATTTTTTACATGTGGTTAATTATGATTTTGACCACGTTACTAATTAAATAAATTTTTTTAAAAGAAAAAAGGCTCAAATATGTCATCGAACTTTGAGAATAGGTTCATATTTATGTTATCCGTTAAAAGTTTGACTCATCTATGTCATTTTCGTTTGAGAAAAGACTCATTTATGCAATTATTTGTTAATTGAAAACTGTTTCGGGTTTGTAAAATCATTTTTTACATGTGGTTAATTATGATTTGACCACGTTACTAATTAAATAAATTTTTTAAAAGAAAAAAGGCTCAAATATGTCATCGAATTTTTAGCAAAGACTCATCTATGTCATCCGTTAAAATTTTGGCTCATCTATGTCATTTCCATTTGAGAAAAGGCTCATATATGCTACTACTTGTTAACTGAAAGCAAGTCCGATTTTGCAAAACCATTTTTTGTAGGTGGTCAATTATGATTCGGCCACGTCATTAACTAAGTCATTTTATAAAACAAAAAAGATTCAAATATGTCATCAAACTTTGAGAAAGTAAGTCCCATTTTGCAAAACCATTTTTTGCAGGTGGTCAATTATGATTCAGCCACATCATTAACTAAATCATTTTTTTAAAGGGGAAAAGACTCAA